AGGCTTCATAAATCCCCTTAGTCATCTCCATCGCTCAAAAATTGCTCTTCATGATATAATACCCAGGTTTCTCTAATAATTGCAAACTCTTGTTGGCTCCAGCCACTGCTGAGGGCTTTACATGCATTTTTATTCATTTAATCCTAAGAACTCCATAAGGTTTTATTATTATTCCTATTTTACAGTTGAAGAGATTGAGGCACAGAGAGGTTAGGTAACTTGCCAAAGGTCACACAGATAGTGGATGGTTGATCCAAGATTCAAACTCAAGTAATATAGCTCAGAGCTTATGAACCCTAACTACTACCTTGCACATGGCTTCTTGGAGGGGACAAAAAAATTAAAAAGCAGAACTGGGGCACTTTAGTGGCTCAGTCAGTTGAGCATCCAACTCTTGATTTCAAAACTTAGGTCATGATCCCAGGGTCATGGGATTGAGCCCTGCATCTGGCTCCAGTGCTGAGTATGGAGCCTGCCTAAGATCCACCCCCCACCACCACCCCTCTCCCCTTCTCATACTCTAAAAATTAAAATAATAAAAAGCAGAACTAGTACAAGACACTGATAAAGTTGATAAGGTGATATACATACTTTTCCTAAAAAGAAAAAAAAAAGTGATTCTGTTCTACTCATCAGTCTTAAAAAAAAATCCTCCAGCTTCTCTTAGATGCCACCTCAATGTGACAAGTGCTGGAGAGATTAGCACCATCCTGTGGCTTTAGGAATTGTTCAAATATCAGATAGGAAGCAGGACTTCAACATATAAATTTCCTTATTGATAGTCTATATGGAGTCTTAGTTGAAGTTCCTTAAGTTCTTGCTCAATTCCAAATTCACTTTGAAATCCAACAAAGGGATTTCAAAAACGGATTTCAAAAGTTGTCCATACAGGCTATCCTGAGAAGATCCCTAGAATTCAGAGTCCCCACCACAAAAAGCTCAGGCTGCCTAGCCCTTAACTAGGAACAGGAAGCATAGAAGATATCACGTCAGACCCAGAAAAATCACATTTGGCTAGACTCCAATAGCCAGATTAAAAGTAGATTTTCTAACTAGCTGGCAACTAAAAAATTTTTTCTAATAAGATTATTTCTAATCTCCAGGTCTCTCGACAGAAAATGTTTCTGGCCAGCAATAACTTAATAGAGAGAGCAGATGGCAGTATGACAGACACCTGCAGTGTCTCCACCTCCTGATATTCACGTCCTAGAGAAATGCCCTCCCTTTAGGTGCTGGCGGGACCTGTGACTTACTCCTAACCAATGGAGTACAGCAAAGGGGATGGGATGCCACTTCTGTGATTGTATTACATAAGATTCTTCAACTTGCTGACTTTCTTGATCACCTTTTGGTTTGCATGCTTTGATTAATCAAATAGCAATGCTAGGAAGACCTACATGGCAAGGAATTAAGGGCGACATCTGGCCAAGAGTCAGCTAGAAACTGAGGTCATCAGTCCAAAATTCCTAGAGGAAATGAACTCTGCAAACAACCACATAAGCTTGGAAGCAGATCCTTCCCCAGCCAAGCCTTCAGCTGAGACCCCAGCCCAGACTGATATCTTGATTTCTGCCTGGAGCATAAACTTAAAGCAGAGGACCCAGCTAACCATGCCCAGGTGTGACTTCTGACCCACTGACATGGTGAGATAATGAACGTGTTAAGTTGCTAGGTTTGTGGTAATTTGTTACACAAAAATAGATAACTAATACAGTGCCTTAGTACCCTCCAGGCAAAAGCATACTTATCAGTGGCCTTTCCCAGGACAAGCCAGAGGTGCTGGAGTAATTGGCACCCCAGGGGATCAGCTTTCAACCAAGGACCATCAGAAATTGATGAATAGCCCACCCCTCCTCATTCCTTAGTGTTTGGAAGACACCACTGAGGCATGTTGTACACAGTTTCCCAGAGTGCCTCAGCGAGACTGAGCCCCAGTGGCCCCCAGCAGTATCCTCCTCAGTCATGCATCTTTCATAGTCTGGCTTTTCTTCTCTGTATTACTTTCCCACTCCTTTGTTGGTGGTTCCTGGCCTTGTCTCCCAAATAAACTACAAAATCATGGCCTACTTTTAGGGAAATCAAAGTTAAGACAGGAGACGGGGGGTAGGGGAATGACAGTGCTTTCAAAGCAAGACCAATGATAAATTCTAAGTCTAGGTCTCCTGAAGACGCCCCTCTTCCAACAAGTGAAAGTGTGCCCAACCCTATGACTGAGGCCTGATGTGGAAAGACAACAAAACTGGGAATCCAGGGCTGGGGCTCATCTCAGTCCCAGTGACTGTGTGGACTCAGCAAGGACTGACCCCAGATCTCCCCTTCCTGACTGTAAAGTAAGGGTAACAGCCCTTGCCCTCCACTAAGGGATGAACTGTGCTCCCCTACTTGCCCTCCACCACCAATCCCTACATTGAAGTCCTAACCTCCAGAACCACAGAATGTGGCTGTATTTGGAGATGCAGATTTTCAAAGAGAAAATGAGGTAAATTAATGAGATAATTAAAAAATGAAAAAATTAGGTGATGTGAGTAGGCTCTAATCTAGGACAGGTGTCTTTATAAGAGGAAATGTTGGCACAAGCTGCCACAGAGGAAAGACCAGGTGAGGACACAGGGGGAGGTCAACCACCAACAGCCAAGGAGAAAGGAAAACCAATGTTGCTGACACCTTGATTTCTTGATCTCACATAAACTTCTGATGCTTAAGCCACCCAGGCCAGGCTACTTGGTTATGGTGGCCCTAGAAAACCAATGGTCTCCTACCATCCAGGGTTGTCATGCAGACAAAATAGGACACCAAGCCTAAGTAAGTTTTACAGTCTTATTACAGACTAGAAAGACACAGCTAAACCGTGGTCACAGAGGGAAGAGTCATGCAGGGAGAGGTAGGGAGGTCCCAGACTCCAAAAGAAAGGCAGTCCTTAATGCAAAGTGGCAGAGAACTTGGCTGAATTGTGTCCTAGTATTTTGTAGAAGGTAGAACTTACAAGTGATGAATTAGATATTTAATGGAGGAGATGTCTGAGCAAAATCGTGAAGGCGCAGCTAGGGTCCTTATTACTATTTCTAGTAAACTGCAAGAGGAGAGATGAATTAAAGGAAGAATCTTTAAACAAAGGAGCCAGAACTTGAAGACTGGGGAAATTCTCAGCCCACCTACATTGTAAAACATGACAAAGCTTGTTCTGAAGAGAGTATGAAGTGTGTGGCTGAATAACCATTTGATAAAAAGGTCATGGGTGTAACTCATGGACCTAATCAGCCATCTCAGCAGAGGCCAGGAATAGACATGGGTTTTTCCAGCAAAGACAGTGCCATTTTGAACTAAAGGGAACAGAGAAAGCAGGATAGAATGAAGGAAGGCTATTGAACTTCTTGGATTCTACTAGAGGAGACCACAAAGCTATTTGGTTGCAAATGTACATTATTCTTCCAGGAAAGAAGAGAATGACCACAAAGGTGATTCAGAGTTCAGCACTGCCATACCAACCACAGGCCCAGGCGTGAAGTTTGTTACCTCCTGGATTCAGGGGGCAGGGCCACTGCAGAGCTGTGTGGGGTGAGGCTTCCACCACAGTGGACCTGGAAGGTGGGACACTGAGCCAAAGAGGATTATTTTGATGGCTTAATAATGGAATTTGCCTTGTTAGGTCTGGAGCCTTCTTGAGACCCACCACTCCTTTCCTCTTTCCAATTTCTTGGAAATTCCATCCCTACAGAATGGGAATGTCCACCCCAGGCCTGCTCACCATTATTTTGGAAGCACATAACTTGTCTGGTTTCACAGGTTCACAGAGAAGAATTTCACCTCAAGATGAATCATACCTCAAGTCTCAACCATACATGATTTAGAGGACTTTTAGATGAGACTTTGGACTTTAGAATTTAGAACTGAGATGCTGAACAAGTTAAGACTTTCAGGGCTGTTGAGGTGAAATGCATGTATTTTGCATGTGTTAAGGGCATGAACTTTTGGAGTCAGGCACCAAAAGCCATTCAACTGAATTGTGCCCTCCAAAATTCATATGTTAAAGCCCTAACCCCCAGTGTGACTATACTTAGAGTCAAGGGTTTTAGGTGGTTGTTAGGGTTAAATGAGGTTGGGCCCTTAATCCGATAGGATTGGTGTCCTTGTAAGAGGAAGGGAGATAAGAGTTTGCTGACTGCACACACACACTGCTTGTTCCCTCTCTGCCCCCACCATGTGAGGCCGCATGAAAAATCTGCAAACCAGGAAGAGCAACCTCATGAGAAACCAAAACCGTTCAGGCTTGATCTTGGACTTCTCAGCCTCTAGGACTGTGGGAAATAAATCTGTTGTTTAAGCTACCCAGTACAGGATTTATATTACGGCAGCCCAAGCAGACTATATACTTTCTGTGCCTCAGTTTCTCCACCTGTAAAATGGGGATAATCATGCCTATCTCATAGGACTGTTATGAGAAAAAGCTAACATATGGAAAGTATGGGAACAGATACAGCATATATTAAGTGCTAGGTCTCTGAGTAGTTGTTGTAGAGATAAAGACGGTCTCTGTGGTCAAGACAGTCACTGTGCTTGGGTGTCTAACTTGCACAAGGTGTATTATGGATTTAGCTGAGTATTTAGAGAGCCTTGAAAATTCTCACTGCCAATGGCCAATGCTTACCACTCCTTACTTTTCTAGCTTCAGTTTATACTCCTATTAATTTCCCCAAGAAGGGTAATAGGCACTTATTCCTCAAGTGATGAAAATAGACAATGAAAGATATTAGCTATGGGTCCTAAAAGGATGAGGATGAAAACCTCATAGGAGTTGAGGGATAAGCATGAAGGCTGAAAACCCTGAAGCCTATTTCTTCAAAGCATGAAATTAAGGAAAAAGAGTTGAGTAGAAGTGTGACAAGCAAGGCCATTTAAAAGGTAATTGTTAAGCTTTGAATTATCACAATTTTTGAGAGACTTCAAAACTTTCAAGACTGCATTTATTTGTCTCTAGAAGGTAGCCCTGGGCTGGCATTTTCACTTTTCATACTTGGGGGAGCCTGAAACAGAGAAGAAAGCCCCTTATAAATGGTTAAATAAGAAGAGATAGTTCCCAAAAGAACTATATAAAAATTTTTTCATTAGTAATCAAAAATGTTTAAATATAAAGATACCTTTTTTTACCTATCAAAATTCTATCATTTTAATAGATCCCACTGTTAGCAAGGATATGGTGAACTCGGCACTCAGAGCTGGTGGTATTGTAAGTTAGCCTCATGCATCGAGTCATAAATTGTACCTACCTGTGACTCAGGACTTCCACATCTAGGAATCTATCCTAAAAATAAACAAAATAAAAAATTTTTTTAAATACAGAAAGAGGTAAATGCATCAGGCTATTTGCTATGTTCACGAGAACAAAAAAACTGAAAACAAATGTCCTAAAATTAGAAAACCCTTCCATTTAATTGAGCATTAAAACTTGTGATAAAGACTACACAGTAACCTCAAACCTGTCAATGATAGAAGAAACAGAACACAGTGTTGTATGGCCTGCGATAATTTCTTAATTCAGTTGTGTAAGAAATTTTAGAAGCATTTTAGTACGTTCAATCAGTGGTTTTACTAAGATGGTAAGATCACTTTGGGTCTTAATATTCTGAAATCTAAACCTGAAGAAAAAGCCAAATCCAAGACTTAAAATAAAGTCACTCCAATCTATCACTGTGGATAATAAAGTACTATAGTCACATGCTCTAATTCAGGTTATAGAAACAGATTTACCTATTTTCTAGCCCACTCTCATTTATATTTCAAGAGTAAGGTTGTTTTTTTTAAGAACAAAAGGCAGTAGAGAGTTTAACACTAATACACATAGACTCTGATTCCATCCTTCACTGACCCACTGGATATTGGTCAATTTCCTTAACTTCTGTTTTCTAGTTTCCTGACATGTAAAATGGATATAATTATACATCAGGTGGTCATGAAAATTATAAAGGTATTTTGTATTCACCACCAGGAATAGGGTCCATCACAAAGTAAGTATCAATAACTTTTCTGATCTTGATCCAATCTTTCTACTATGCATGTAATTAAGCTAACTTTTTTAGTTCAAAATTAGCTTTAAGAGTTTCATTTAATTCTTTTAAACTTTTCACATATTCAGAATGCGTTAAACCTAAGAGACAAATTCATGTATTGCTAGGTTTACCCAGAGTTAAAGGATAATTTAATCTAATAGCCTACAGTCTAGTATATTATAGATCATTGTCTTAGTTTGGATTTAAGTGTTAGCTAGAAAATTCCATGAATGTAATATAGAAGTATCAGAATATGGAATATTCTGAGTATGCTGAAGATTATCAATGTTGCCTTATTCTTACAGTTCATTTAAAAAAAAAAAAAAATGCCTGTTGGCCTCATCTAAGCAGTTGAAGGTCCAGGAAGAGGGTGATCTGAGAAACAAACCCAGCTTGCTGCTCAGCCCCTCTGATAAGGCAGGCATGCTCCCGTTGTTGATTGTAAAAGCTGCATGGTTTGACATATTATCCAATGTAACCTTCCCTCCACCCACTGAGCCAAGGTTTGGGGGAGGAGGCAGGGACTGAGGTAGATACCAACCAGAAGTCCACACTTAGCTTCAGATTTCAGTTCCCAGCTACAACAGTCTGAAAAGCAAGGCTCTCATTTGAAAGAAGCTTTGTTGAAAGGGAGAATCAACATGTGGGTTCTGGTGGGCCAGAGCTCAGATGGCAACTCAGGTGGTCACAAAGCAGGGAGGAGGCAAGATATGATGTGGGAGAAGATTTCCTACAACCGAAATGGAGAAGAAAGTTGAAGCAGACGGAAATAGTTATTTGGAGGGGCTGGAACTCTCCTGAGGAAGCTGCCTGATCCCTAATCCCTGGGAAGGGCCCCTGTACCACGCCATCCTAGACCTTGACCCAGAGATGAGGAAGAGTTAGTTACATAAGGGAAAAGAACCCAAGAAAAGTGTAAAAAAAAAAAAAATCTGAGAAAAGCAAAGATTCGTACCCACTTCTCAGAATGTAGCTTCTCACAGTTCAGTGACCACGTGGCTAAAGGAATTTTTAAGTATGTGCCTGAGGACAGCTGCATAGCCCATCTAGGAATGTGAAAGCCAGAGAGACAAGAAGATGCCTGGGTTCTGAAGGCAGAAGGCCCGGTGAGCCTGACCTAGAGAAGAGAAGCCATACTGGGGTCATGGACATCCACAGTAGATGTCAGCTCAACAAGACTGGGGACCTAAGGATTAGCTGGGGAAACACACACGAGCGTACCCATTCCAGCCTCCATAGCACACACACTCCTTGCTGTACCTAAAGGAGGACAAGACGATCTCATAGGAGAGAAGACATATGGGGGAAAGAGTCTCACAGGGATTCTGAACATTAACCTGATAACAGTATGTACTCAAAGAAGATAGATCTTACTGCGCTAAGAGAATCTTTCCACCATCTGAGTCATAAGGTCTTACTGGGTTCTCAAAAACAAGGAGAATACAGTGTAGAAAGTAAAGTTACATTTCTTCCCATATAAATTGTGCTCAGAATGGTCAATCCTGCTTTGGTGTATGCAAGTCCAGCCAAGACCCAGAGATCAGAACCCAGCACCGTGGCCATAGCCCTGTCATAGAGCTGTACAGATGATCTTCCAGCAAATAAAGGTCTTTTATAATGAGCAGGGCTTTGGCCACCAAGCCCCACATGGTCTGTCTCTTCCCTTGGGGGCCTATTCCAAATTGCATGATACAGGGAAACTCCGCTCCTGGGTTCTTCTCAGCTGAGAGCACCCCAATGAGGCAGGTGCCCCAGGCTCATCTTCCACACTAGCATTGCTGCAAGGACACATTCCTGAGAGGGAAGCCTTCCAAAAAGGGAGTGATCCAAAGATGACCAGAAGAGTTCCCCCAAAATAATCAGGCTGTATTTACGGCCCCTTTACCCTCCTACTAGAAGATCTACCTTTAATGCTGTGCCTTTGGAGTCCATTTCATTGGTAATTCATTCTGGATAACCCAGAGATTAGAATAAGGAGAGAAGGGAGAGGGCAGAAGGGCTCATTGACCTCCCTGAGGGGTTACTTTATGTGATCCTAGTACTTGATGGCTTTCTGCTACCCCAAAGAGCAGTCTGTCTCAAGGGAGGTCAGCAGCACATCAGAGGAATCCTGACTCTAACTTTGAGAGACTCTTCCACCCAATTCTTACAACTCTCCTCTCTATCCACATTGGGACCAACAAGTCTGGGTCTTTTATAAAGCTCATATAAATTCCCTCCAGAAGTCCACTAGACTAAATCAAGACTTAATTTTTTTTAATTTATTTATTTTTGAGAGACAGAACATGAACAGGGGAGGGGTAGAGAAAGAGGAAACACAGAATCTGAAGCAGGCACCAGGCTCCAAGCTGCCAGCACAGAGCCCAATGCGAGGCTTGAACCTACAAACTGTGAGATCATGACCAGAGCTGAAGTCGGACACTTAACCAACTGAGCCACCCAGGCACCCCTTACTTCAACTAATTTAACCACCTATCCTGTCATATGTGAGAGAAATATAAATTGGCTTTCTTGAATTAGGCTCAGCTCACTGACAGAGTTAGGAGCACATACCAGGTAGAGATCTTGTCAAACACACCAAACCTCATACACATACACTAAACCCACTTTCATGATTGATTTTTCTGTGGGGACAGAAGATGGAGAGTTCCAACAAAGGAAATCCTCTGTCTTATTTTCATGAAGAAATTTACCTTTCCTCTAACATTTTATTCTCATCTTGGTCAGATTGGGCTTCAAGAGTCTTCCTCGGGTGCTGCTTGGATCTCTTCCTGAGTAGTTGCATCCTGGGGAACCTTCCCCTGGAGGTGGTATCACTCTGAGGTTAGATGGATCCTGGCCTTTATGCTCTAGATCTCACTTTTCCAAAGTCCAAGGGAAAACAACTAGCATCCATATCATCACAGCACCAATCCCTAAGCCCCCAGAGTTTAGAAGACAGTCACATACTGAGCCAATGCAATCACTAGAGCAACCTCCACACTCTGAGTCCCAGTACTCTTGGTCTGGGGCTGCAAAGTTTAACACCCAAACTGGTGCTTCAACAAGGGGGTTGGGGGCCAACAACCCATCAAGCACCCACTGCGTTAAAAGGAAGTGCAAATTTTTTTTTTTTTTTTTTACAAATAGTTTATTGTCAAATTAGTTTCTACATAACACTCAGTGCTCATCCCCAAAGTGCCCTCCTTCATGCCCATCCCCCCCTCCCCCCCACATCCATCAGTCCTCAGTTTTTGTCAGCATTCAAGAGTCTCTCATGGTTTGCCTCTCTCCCTTTCCCCCACCATTTCTGCCCTTCTTCTCCCCCTTGGTCCTCCGTCAAGTAAGGAAGTGCAAATTTTTAAAATATTCTGCTGGCTATGCTCATCAGAATATGCCCTGTAGGCCCCCAGTGAACACTGAGGCAGACAAATGTGATGCCCAGGGAAAAGCCTAGACCACCACACTACTGTGGTAGAATTTTTGCTATCACATAGAGCCAGTTCCCGAGTGAAATGGGAGATGGAAGACAGGAGACAGTTGCTTCAAGGCCTTTCCAGGGTGCTAATGAATTCATCCCAGATAGCTAGACCATCCCGTTTCAGAGCTTAAGATGCTATTAGAAGAAATGCTCCCAGTGATTAATTTCCACACACAGATTACCACAACCTGCAGAGGGAGTAGTGGACACCTACCATCCTCATAGGCTTCTTCCTCTCAGAAACTCTTCCAAGGAATACTCCTACACAGACCAAAATTTTAGAAGTGTGTGATAGCAGCACATCCAGGCCCCACACCAGGCACTTATGTTCATCCACATATTCCTTTCCAGAGCCTCTCTGACCCCAGCTCAATTGGCATCTTACTCCAACACAGAGGATGGCCTTTGTCGAGGGACACAGCCTCTGCAGGATCATAGGCAGCTGTGAACAAAACTCAGAGCCTTGCATGATAGGGAATGCCTGAACCATAAACACATGTGTCAAATAAAAAAAGTAAGCAATGGTGGGTCAGTGAACATCTTGCCACCCAGCAATGCCCAATCCCAAAACAGATAAATCCTACACCTGAAAACCCAATCCAAAATGAGCCTTGCCAGGACCCTGACATTAATCCCTATTCCTACCAAGGCCAGAGGCTGCCACTTCACACAGCTCAGGGTTCTCTCCATTCGCACACATACTTGCTGATTCAGTCTGCAAGTGAGCCTGCTCTAGCCCGAGAAGCTAATCTCCATGCCTGCCATCAGCAGATTCTTATGTACTTCATTCGGGAC